TTCCACATATAAGTGAAATCATACCATATTTGTCTTTCTCTGTCTCTTTCTTCACTTAGTGTAATACCCTCTAGGTCTGTCCATGTTGTCACGAATGGCAAGATTTCATTTCTTTTTAATGGCTGTGTAGTATTCCACTGTGTATATGTGTGTGTGTGTGTGTGTGTGTATGCATATATCACATCTTTTTTATCGGTTCTTCTATAGATGGGCACTGAGTTTACTTCCATATCATGGCTATTGTAAATAAGATTGCAGTGAACATAGGGATGCAGATAGTTTTTCAAATCAGTGTTTTCATTTTGCGTGGATAAACACCCAGGAGTGGAATTGCTGGATTGCAGAGGTAGTTCTACTTTTAATATTTTGAGCAATCGCCATAGTGTTTTCCACAGTTTCTGCACTAAGTTACATCTCCACCAATAATGCATGAGGGTTCCCTTTTCTCCACATCCTCACCAACACTTGTTATTTGTTGTCTTTTTGATGATGGCCACTCTGCCAGGTGCGAGGTGACACTTCGCTGTGGGTTTGATTTGGCATTCCCCTGAAGATTAGCGGTGCTGAGCATCTCTTCACGTGCCTGTTGGTCATCTGTATTTCTTCTTTGGAAAAATGTCTTTTCAGATCCTCCGCCCATTTTTTAATTAGGTTAGTTTGTTTTTCTGATGTTGACTTACGTTAGTTCTTTGTATATTTTAGATATGAACCCCTTTATGGGACATATCCTTTGCAAATGTCTTCCCCCATTCAGTAGGCAGCCTTTTCATTTCATTGATAGTTTCCTTCACTGTGCAAAAGCTTTTTAGTTTGATTTAGTCCCATTTGTTTATTTTTGCTTTTGTATTCCTTGCCTGAGGAGACATATCCAAAAAATTATCTAAGACCACTGGTGGGCAGAGCCAGGTCCTGTCCTGGGGTCTCTGGCTGCAGGCCCCCGGGGGTCCCTGAGTGGGTGTTGGCCTGCTGGTGGGCGAGGCAGGGTCCTGAGTGCTTAGGTGGCCGGGTCCTGGGCCAGCTGGAGCTCAGGGAGTCCTCAGCCAGTTGGCCTGCTGGTAGGTGGGGCTGTGTCACTGCTGCTTGGCCCAAAGTGTCCCAGTCCTAGTGCTGACAAGCTGGTGGGCTGGAGGGAGGACTCCAGAATGGCGCTTACCCACACCAGTCCGCCTGGTAGAATGAGCTCCCAAAGTGGCTTCTGCCAGTGTCTGTGTCCCAGGGTGCACTCCAGTTGCCTGCTGTCTCTCTGGGAAGCTCTCCAAGATTAACAGGTGGGTCTTTTCAAATTATTGCTTCTGGGGGAGGGTATAGCTTGGTGGTAGAGTGTGTGCTTGGTACACACAAGGTCCTGGGTTCAATCCCCAGTACCTCCACTTAAAAAATAAATAAACCTAATTACGTCTCCCCCCAAAAACAAAAACAGAAAAAAAAATCTTAAAAAAAAAATTCCTGCTTCTGCCCTGGGTCCTGGAATGTGTGAGATTTGGTGTGCGCACTGTAAGGGCAGAGTTTCTATTTCCCACCGCCCTCTGGGTCTCCTGAAAGTAAACCCTGCTGGCCTTCAGATCCAAACACCTGGTGGCTCATCTTCCTGGTGCAGGACCCCTCGGCGAGGGAGCCCAGTGTGGGCCTCGGATCCCTCGCTCCTTGGGGAGAGCCTCTGGAATTGTAATCACCCTCCTGCTCATGGGTCTCCCACCTGCAGGTATGGGACTTGACTAACTGTGACGCTCCCCGCTCCCAATTTCGTTGTGGTTCCTTCTTTTTACCTGTAGCTGTAGATGCTTTCTGCTAGTCTTCTGGTCTTCCTCATCAGTGGGTACAGCTCTGTAAGTTGCTGTAATGTGATGTGCCTGTGGGAAGAGTGAGCCCGGGGCCTTCCTCTTCTGCCGTCTTGGCCAATCCCTGCTCCAGAGTGATAACTTCTAAAACATATTCTGTATCATTCATTTTTAAGATGCAGATTTTAATAACATTTTAACTTCTCTGAAACTGAGCTGAGTCTTAATTTAATTGGCAGTGATTTCTGTCTCTAGTTGGTACCCAGAATAACTGCATCTCATAATCACTGGCACATTAGATTCGGTAAAAGACACTGTCACATTGTGACATTTCTCTGCTCAAAACTCCCTCCTCATTTCATGCAGCGTGGAAGTCAGCGTCCTCGCCGTGCCCTACACGGTCCCGCGTGTCAGGACCTGGTTGTCCTCTGGCCTCCGAGCTCGCTCCCCGAGCTCGCTCCACGCCAGCCTCCCCGGCGTCCTTGTGCTCTGCCAGCTCCCTGGGCGCCCCTGCCTCGCTCTTTCTGCTTCTGGTCTTTCTGCTGTCCCGCCTTCACCATGAAGCCTGCTCTGACCATGCTTTTAAATCTGCAGTGCCTCCCTCCCCCAGCCCTCCAGCGTTTGCCTTGGGTGTCGGCTGTACCGCCTGCCCCACCTGTAAATCCACACTGTTAGTGGGAAGGTGCTCGAAAACTCTTAGCGTGTAGCAGCCATGCACCGACCACTGGTTCCTTCCCCCTTCCTCTCCTTAGTAAATGAAAATTTGAAACAGAGAGTAAACATACTGGAAACCACAAAATGACCCGGTAGCGCTGAACAGGGGCAGCACTCTGGCCCACTGAAGCAGCTTCTTGCCTCTGAATTTAAGCGTTCACAAACCTGCCTTCTTTAATGTTGAAGAAGGTGGTGACAGTGGCAGGTGCCCTCCAGTCTGACGATCTCTGTCCTCTTCACCATCTTTGGATCCTGTTGCTAGTTTTTTAACTGTGTTCTCAAAATGCACACCGAAGACCCTCATGGCCCTTAGTGACAATGTTGATTTACCTTGTAAAAAAATCTAGATTGTGTAGAATTTTCTAGAATGTTCCGGTTTTCAAGCACTTTGACAGATGATTGAGACTCCTCCCAAGAGGAGTCAGAGACTGACTTTAATGAGAAGTTCTGGGTAGCACAGTGTGATTCTGTGAGACTCAGTGTAAGTGCTACGATCACGAGGCCCAGGGAGCTGAAGTCCAGGCTTCTGACTTCCACCCGGGCGGCTGTGCCTCGTCCCTGTCCCGCACGCAGCACGGCCATCTCCAGGCTGCTGGAGGGAGAGCCCTTTGAAAAGCCACACACATGGGAAGGTGAGAGGTCCTCTTGGTGACTGAGTCCTCGGTGTAACACAAGCCAGCTACATGTTTCCAGGTGCCTGCTTCTCCTCGTGGTGCAAGATAGGCAGGGAGGAGCTTTAGAGACAGACAGACTTAAATTTGAGTCTCTGCCCCACGTTTTCATGTATTAGCTGTGTGGCCTTGGACCTCACAGCATTTTCACAGGTGAAGTCTCCTGACGATGAGCTAACATCCAAAATTACAAAACACACAAGGAACAACACACCACAGGCGAGAGCCAGCATGGCCAGCGCACGCCAAGCTTAGACCACAACCAGCACCGAGGAATTCAGATGAAGAGACTGTTAGAGCTTATAAAGGAATTATGTTTAAAACATTAAAAAAACAACAGAAGGAATGATTAGCGTGAAAACGAGACATGCTGAAAAAGCAGACAAATAACCATATGCTTTTATAAACGAAAATTATAGTTGTTACAAATACACACTACTATATATAAAACAGATTGAACAACAAGGACCTATCGTACCTCACAGGGTACTATATTCACTACGTTATAATAACCTATAATGGAAAAGAATCTGAAAAAGAATCTACACATATGTTTATGTACAACTGGATCACTTTGCTGTACACATGAAACTAACACAACACTGTAGATCAACTACACTTCAGTAAAAGTAAATTAATTCTTAAAAACAGAAAATTATAGTTGAGAAAACAGAAATGTAATGAATGAGTTAAACAGCAGATTAAATATGGCTGAAGACGCAGTGTGTGAACTAGAAGCTACATGTGAGAAAGTGGCCCAGAATACAGCATGGAGAGCTAAAGAGATGGAGAGTGGTGAAGGGACAGGAACAGAATGAGAAGGTCCTGGAGGGACCTCCTCAATCTTTCAGGAATTCTAGGAAGAAAGGATGGAGAGAGTGGAGGAGAGATAATATTCAAAGGGATAAGGGATAAGGAATTTTCGGACATGCTGACAGTCATAAACCCTAAGGTAAAAGAAATGCTGATTAACTTTGGATTTGTGGAGACAGGAATATACGTCAAAAATGTAAAACTATGGAAGGAATAGAAATAGAATAGAAGGTAACTTTCAAAGCAGTAGAGGACAATGGCGAAACAAAGATTTTCTTCAGTATAAAAGCTACATGGTGACCAGTAAAATAAGTCTGACTGATGTTTATAAGAGCCTGATGGAGCTTAATTATAAAATGTTATTGAAGGGATAAAGAAAGAATTGAGAGAAATGCCTGACCCTTGGATAGGAAAACTCAGTTCTGGAAAGACAGTGATTCTCTACACATTAATCTAGCAATTCAGTCAAATTACAAGGAAATCCAAGAGTTGTTTACCCAAACTGGATAAACTGATTCTAAAATTCACATGTATAGAAAAACAACCAAGAACAGCCAAGACAGTTTTGTACAAGAGAACCTGGGAAGACTCGCCCTAGCAGTGGTGAAGTCCTGCGATAAACTACAGGAATTAAAGCAGGGAGTTATTGGTACGGAAATGAACAGACAGACCCACAGAATAAAAGAGTCTGGAATGAGATTCATGTACATATGGAAACTATCAGACAAGGTGGCGTCAACAGGCCAGTCATAAAAAAGATAAATGGTGCTGGGACAATTAGCATCCATTTATCCAGAGACAATTAAATCCCTTCCTCATGCCACAGAAAATATATATTAAATGGCTTTAAGATGTACATGCAAATAGGAAATTTTTTAAAACTTTAGAGGGAAGTATAAGAGAATTTAATTAAATCAAAGGAGAAGGGGATTTTTAAAATTAAGAAACAAAAATTTGATCCAACAAAGTAATGATGAATGAAATGAGCTTGAGTTGACCCCTGTCCCTCTGTCCTGGGGTCTAGGTGTGGATGGAGGAGCACACACTGTCCACTGTGCTGCAGGCACACCTGCGGGACGACCATGAGAGCATCATCCACCGAGTCTTGGGCCACCTTGGCGGCCTCAGTGAAGAGTGAGTGTGGCTTTCTGGAGGGTGGGGGCCTTGTGTCCTGTGTGAGACTCCATGCTAGCCTCAGTGTCCTCATCTGTAAGGTGGATGTTGTAACTACCTTCCTGCCTCCCTGACAGCATGGTTTGAGACCAACCAGATTGTAACTGTAGCTGTGAAACAGAGTGACAACAGAAGGCCGTGGATGAAAGTTTGCAGTCAGAATTGATGTGGGCACATGACTTAGTTCTTACCCCCAATTTCTTCAACCATAAAATGGGACTACTAATACCTACCTCATAGAGTTGTCTTTTGTAAAAACTCTTTAGACATATTTTTTGAGGTACAATTTACATACATAAAGTGTACAATTCAATGCTTTTCAGTAAATTTACAGAGTTCTACACCCATCACCGTGATCCAAATTTAGAACATTTCCATCACCCCTAAAAAGACCTCTTGTGCTCATTTCAATCATTCTCCATTTATTAATACATTTAATATATTTTATATGTTTTTATATGGTTATTAGCTTGCTGAAAAATACTTATTTTCCTTATTTCATAGGAGAAAAATTATTTTGATACAACTAATTTTCTAGTTGCCTAGCCTTTTCCAGGAAACTATTTTTTGCATACATCAAGAAGCAGATGGATAGCTATATTATTGGATAATACAGGGAGAGCACCAGAAGGAGATGAAAACAAGTGAATAAAAACTGGTGAGCAGTGTTGAGGACAGTAGTGAGCAATCAAAAGATTTGTCTAGCCTCAAAACCTGTGTCTTTTCATTGTAGTAATATTTAATCCATTTATATTTAATGTAAAACTTCTTGGTAATGTATTTGGATTTTTAATTTATCATTTTACTAATTGTTTTATGTTTGTCCCACCTGCTCTATATCCCTTTTTCTCATCTCTCTTGCCTTCTTTTGGATTAGTTATTTTATTATTTCCTATTTTATCTCTCTTTTGGCTTGTTATTTATATGATTTTAATGGTTCAGAGATTCTGAACTGCATCCCTGATGTGTCGCAATCTAATGTACATTAATATATCCCTTCTTCCAGGACAGTGCAGACACCTAAGAATGCCTTAACTCCATTTATTCCTCCCTTGCAGATTATGCTTTTCTTATTGGGTGTTTTACATCTCTCCATATTTTCAACTCACTGAGATATTATTTTTGGTTTATGCCATCAGTATTTGTTTAGATTTACCCCTTCTGTTGCTCTTGATTCTTTGCTCTATCTTTAAGTTTCCTTCTGGCATTATTTTCCTTTGCATGGAGGATCTCTTTGTTTTAGATTTGCTAGTGACAAATTCTCTTGGGCTCTGCTGTCTGAAAATGTCTGTCTCATCTTCATTTTTAAGGAATGTTTTCATTGGGCATAGAATCCTAGTTTAGCTGTTATCTTTTAAATACTTTTAAAGATAATCTTTCATCTTCTGATTTCAATTGTTTCTGGCTACTTTAAAATTTTTCTTTTGTTCTTTGGTTTTCATCAGTTTATGATGATATGCTTAAACCCGGAGGTGGGTTATTTTGTGTGTGCATATCTTGCTTGCTTGTTTTGAATAAATCTGCAGTGCTTCTCGAATCTGTGATTTGCTGTCTTCTATTAGTTTTTGAAAATTCTGAGCCATTATCTCTTTAAATATTCCTTCTGTCCATGCTCTTCCTACTTTTCCTGGGCTTCAATTACACATTTATGAGAACTTTTCACCTTATGTCATTTGTCTCTTACATGCTGTTCTGTATTTTTCATTCTTTTGTTCCCTGTGGTTCAGTCTAGATGGTTATTTTGAGCTGTCTTCTCGTTCTCTCTCTCTTTAGCTATGTCTTATCTGCTGTTAAGCCATTTACTGAATTCTTAATGTTGGTTACTGTGTTTTCAGTTCTAGAATTTCTGTTTTAGTTTTTTCATCATTTTCAGTTATCTGCTAAAATTCATCTTATCATTCAATTTCCTAAACGTGTTCATCATAGCTGATTATCCAATATCTTGTGGGTATGTTTCTGTTGTCTGTTTTTTCTGTTTATTTTTGGTCAGGTCTTACTTGTTTGCACGTCTAATCATTTTTATTGAATGCTGCACACTCTTACTAAAAATTGTAGAGATAATTTAAGACTTTGAATGATGGAATCTTTCTCCAGAGAGAATTACTTCTAGTAGGGATTTCAGACAGTGGCAGATCAACCACTCCATTTGTGAATTTATCTGTTTCAAAGTTAGGTCTTTGCAAGGGGTGATTCCTTATTCCTAGGATGCGGGCCCCCAGCTGGAAGCCTGGGGTGTTTGCCAGGTCTCTCCTCCCTGGGAAGCAGACTGCCAGGGCTCTGTTCAGCTTTCTGGGCTGTCAGAAAGGACTGCAATTATAAAACCAAAAGCTGAGCTTCTCTGGTGGACCAAGGTTTTCTACTTGACTCATGGAGATGGGAATTCAAAAATACCTCATGATTTCAGTTTTGGAAGTATTAATTTTGAGATTTATGTAAAAAATTTGAGTGGAGATGTACTGAAGGCAGCTGCATATACGCATCTGAACCTTGGGACAGATGTGATACGGTTGAAAAGATTAATAAAAGAACAGATTGCTGAATATAACCGAGGTAAGCACCCGTGTCTGAGAGGATGGTCAGCAGAGGACAGGGTGATTCCAGCTTAATCACTTCTGGAAAGGCTCCCTGTGGGCTGTGACTATTTGGGGTGTTTCTTGGTAGGTATTAGTCAGGATTCTCCAAAGAAAAAGAACCAGTAAGTGTAGGTAGAGATAGAGATTTAGAAGCTGAGAGGTCCCAAGATCTGCAGATGGAGACTCAGTAGAACCAATATATAGTTTCACTCCCAAGTCTGAAGACGTGACAAATGAAGAGGGCTGATGGTGCGAGCTCCACTCTGAAGGCCAGCAGTCTCAAGATCCAAGAAGAGCCAGTGTTTCAGTTTAAGTCCAAAGACGGGAGAAACCCACGACCCACTCAAGGCAGTCGGGCAGGAGGAGTTCCCTCTTACTTGTGAGTGAGAAGGCTTTTCTTCTCGTCAGACCATCAACTGATTGGATGAGGCCCACCCACATTAGGGAGGACAGTCTGCACAGTCTACCAATTCAAATGTTAATCTCTAGAAAAACCCTCACAGAATCTCTCAGAATGACGTTTGATCAGATGTCAGGCGCCCCGGAGCCCAGTCAAGTTAACGCATAAAATTTACCGTCACACTCAGTGAAGCCAAGAGCAATGACCAACCCCCGGCTCCCCCACCCACTTTCTCCAAAGGTCCACGCAGTGCATCCTGCAGGGGCATGAGCTGCTCCTGCGCTCAGCAATCCGGCGGCTGGCTCTCCGCGGCAGCACCATCACCACCCTGACCCAGATGAGACTGTCCGGGAAGAAGACCCTTCTCCAGGAGCTGCGTGAACAGCACGCCCTGGAGCAGGGCTCCTCCCAGTGTCTGGACGAGCATCAGTGGCAGCTGCTCAGAGCTTTGGTAAGATGTGCACCAGCCCCCCGCCCATCCCAGGCAGGAGCGCTGCATCCCCAGCTTCCAGGTTCCAGCCCGGTCAGCCAGAAACTCAGCTCTGCCCTGCCCCCCACCCGCCCCCCGTTGTGTGGTGGGGACAAGGGCAGCCCCCGTCAGGGGACAACCTGTGCCCAAAGCTTCTAGTGTACACTATCATGAGAGTTACACTAAAAAAGCGTATGAAGTCAGAGCACAGACAGGTACAGTCATCATTGGGGGTTGGGAGAAAAGGGCTCCGTAGTCTGTTTTAAGGTCTTAACAAACTGAAAGAAAGACTTTGCAAATTGCACAGCTGGGATTTTAACCCAAGCAGGCTGACTCCAGGTCTCACGTAGCCGCTGAGCTGTAGGAGCAGCTGATATCTTTGACCCACTGGGGAGGGACAAGCTCACAGCCTCTGTTGCCCTGCCCAGGAGGGCTTGAGGGGACGCAGGCAGGACTTCCTGCCCTGCCTCTGACTCCCCTCACCGCCTTCTCCGACTCATTCCTACAATGAAAGGAAACCTCTGGGCCCCAGTTTCCCTGCCTTGGCTTCCATGATGTACCAGATTACTCTCAGACTCAGATGTGACTTCAAAACCCAGCTCTTCTGTGTGACTTTTAGAAAGTTACTTAATGTCTCTGAGCCTCTATGTCCTCATCATTCCTGGTGTTCAGGCCTCACTGTGTTCTGGAAGAATGAGGAAGTTCTTGTACATATGAGAAGCCGCAGATGGCACTGGGCACACAATTGATGCCCAATAAATGCGTTGGGGGGTCTTCAAGATACCCAGGCTCATCCACTATGTATTGGCTTTTGCCAGCCCAGGGTCCCCACTTTCCTCCACTTCTCCATCCCTTTCCCAATCTCCCTGGAACCCCAGGCAAGGCTGACCCCGCATCCTGGTCCTGGTCCTGGTCCTGGCCAGAGCATCTCTGCAGGGTCGCAGCCTGGGCGCCCACCTCTCCCTGCCCTGTACTTTCTAGGAGGCGCGCATCCTGGAGGAGGCCAGCCGGCTGGAGGAGGAGGCGCAGCAGGTGCGGCTGCAGCTTCAGCAGCAGCTCGTGGCCGAGGCCCAGGGGGTCGGGCAACTCCTGCAGCAGCACACAGAGCAAGCCATCGGGCAGGCGCTGCTGGGGCACGCGAGGACCACGGCATCCAGGAGCCGGGCCAAGGACACGGATGGCTTCAAGGTGCGAACCAGCCTGGCCTGGGGAGCCCGAGGGACAAGAGGCACTGGGGCGGGGTGGGTGGGCAGGCGTGCACGAGAGGCAAGCTTAGGGCCGAGCAGCAGCCTGGGGTCTGCGTGGGAGCTCCTGGCTGGCAGTGCAAGGCCACAGCTCAGAGTCCTTGGCGGGTGGAGTCAGACGTGGATGTGGACAGAGCAGGAAGGAGAACCGGCCACAGCCAGGGAGGAGCAGGGGAGCGAGAAGACACGCTCACACCTTCTCTGCATCCTGGGCCTCCACCCTCTTCGCCTCCACAGCTTCTGTCCACACCTGCAAATGAGGGCCCATTTCTCCGCGCTGGGACATAACCAGCCACTCAGGCACCGCCACTCGATAACCAGTGGGTGTTTTCCTTGCCCAAAGCCTGGAGCCATTCAGTATGTGTTTGTTGAAATGAGGGCTCCTGAACCTGCCTTTTGCTCATCACTTTATGAAGTAAAAGATGGTGACTTGGCCCATGCACAGCCCACATGTCCCCGATGATGGGGCGTCTCCACATTTCCTCGCTTTGGGCCTGAAGGTGTATCGTTGAGGAATGCCTATAACTGCAAGTAACAGAAATTTGTACTCAAATAAATAGAAGTTACTGATCTCACATTACAAGAAATGGGGAAGTAGGTGGTTCCAGGCTGGCGCAGAGGCTCTGTGATGTGACCAAGGACCAGGCGATGTCTTTCTGATCCCTCATTCTGGGTGTTGGTTTGTTGCCTAATGATCTCAAAATGGCCACTGCCACTCCAGACATCAAGTCTGCATTCCAGGCAGGAAGAGAGAAGCAGCAAAGTCTTTCATCCACACCAAAGCTTTGCCTTAATGTTCAGGAAGGGCAGGTCCTCAGCAGGCTTTTTGTAGTACTGCGTCTCATTGGCCAGCACTGTCACACAGCCAGCCTCAGACCATCCCTCCCAAGGAAATGAGAGCATCGACACTAGCCGTGCATCCTGTGCCCGACCAGCCAAGGTTGGGAGTGGGTAGGATACGGCAGCCAGAGCCAGGGGCAGCAGGGGGCCGTGTCAGCCGCGGCCAGCTCTGCGTGCGTCTTCCCTGCTGAGTCCTCCTCCTGCCCGCAGGGAACACTGATGGAGGCGGCGGCCGAGAGCGTCTACGTGACCAGCGCGGGCGTCGGCCAGCTCGTGCACGCATATTACCAGCAGATTGGGAGGGCCATGCAGGACCACGAGGAGAGGAAGCTGCAGCATCTGAAGACCCTACAGGGTATGGTACCCCCGGCGGGGGCCCTGCCCACAACCAGCCAGATGTGCTCTTAGTTCGGGACAGAATGAAGCATCAGGTGTTTCAAATTTTACCTGAGGGAATTCAATTTTTTAACTGTTTTATGTACGTAGTTATCCTCTGCCTTGGCCCCGAAAGGCTTTTGAAGAAGCACTTACAGGAACATGTCCCTGGAGTAAATAGGGTTTTTTCAAAGTAGATGAATCAGGACAAGGACGGGACAGTGGGATGGAGTTAGGGATAGGCCATCGTCTGGGACAGACGTCATCAGATCCCTGCTTAGAGGTGACAGGGCTCTGGGCTTTCTGGTGGCCAAAGAGATAGAGACGCCCTCAATTAAAGCTGTCACAGTGACTGTGAGTAAGGACAGCCTGGTGGCCCACAATGTGCCTGAGACCCAGATGGTTTTCCCCTGTGGGCTCTGGCAAGGAGCCACCGGGGAGAAGGAGCGGATGACATCCCCAGGCCAGCAAGGACATCATGTAGTAACAGACAAAGGCCAGTTTCTTAACGCCTCTTCTTGTGACATCCCTCCCCACGTCTGGGGCTTTGGAACAGGGTGGGGTCCCACGTTCTCTGCTGGGCTTTGTCTGGGTTGTCCGAGGTCTCTGGACGGAGGACGGGCCGTGGGTCCTGGGGCCGGTCTTCCGTGAGTATTACATCTCAGTGAGCGCAGCTGTCTGCCACTGTTACTTTCCCCTTGGCTGGGAAGGTAAGCCCTGCATTCAAATAAAATCTGGGGCGTACCCAGAGATACGCCAGCTGGCCACAGATCCTTCATGCTGGTTTTCCAACATAAGGCCTCGTTCAGCAGGGGACAGACGAGATTGATCGCCTCTGCAGAACATTCAGGAACTGGGGTGTTCACGTCCCCTCTCTGGGCCTCAGTTTCCCCATCTGTGAGGCTCGGGGTGGGCTCTCCCTTAGTGCATCCTCCCAGCTCTGACTTCCTGCTTCTTGATCCCCCAACTCCAGGGAGGGGGTTTCTCACCAAATGCATTGAAGTGACATAACTTAATCACACGAGCTCTTTTTTTTTTTTTTTTTAAATTTCAGGCAACTCTTTTTTACTTAAGAGTTATAGACGGCCATGCCCTGGGGACCCTCAGGTGAAACCTCTCTGTTAGCTCTAGAAGGCTCAGGTTCAGGGAGGTCAGCGGCCTGCTGACACCGCACTACTCGCACCTGGGTCAGTGGGACAACTAGTTAAATGCAACTTGGTAAGTGTAGCAGCTAGTTGAGTATAAGCATGTTCTGAGATGCAGGCCAGTGCACCTCGGACGTGGGAGGCCCAACATCCCAGCTCCTTGGAAAGCACCCGTTTCAGCACCTACGGCTGCGGGGCTCACCACACGCCTCAGCTCTGCGTGGTGAGTGGCTTTTCCTCTCTGGTGTGGAGATTGAGGGGTTTGTGGTGGCCTCTCAGTGTTAACTCTTATTCAGCTCCCTTTTCTCTTGATACTTACAAGAGAGCCAGGGCTGAGCCGTTGCAGGGAGAGGCGTGTGGTGTGTGGAAGCCGCAGCACCTTCACGCACACGAAGCCCTTCCCTGGGTGAACCACGGGGGCTGGTAACCATTTGTCCTGCTGATCCTCACACCCCAGCACCCGGCCCAGACCTGGCACTGCATCCATCCTCCAAACACGCACCTTGATCATTGTGTGTTTCATGGTCTAGGGGAGAGGATGGAAAATTACAAGCTGCAGAAGAAGCAAGAACTCGGCAACGCTTCCTCAGGGGGCCAGATGGCAGGTGGAGCTCAGGGAGCCTCTGGAGCCGTGCATCGGAGGTGAGGTCTCCCTGCTGTCTGTGGGCCCCCGGATGGGCATCCCTGGCCCCTGTGCACCTCATGTTTCTCTGTCACACTCTGACCTCACATGCATTCGGCCGTTGATCTGGGTATCATCTGCCTACCCAACCCGCATGGAAGCCCCCGAGCCTCTGTCCGGCTCCCCCTCTACACGCAGCCCCCAGAAGGGACCAGGCACAAGGGCACAAGTCCAGACGCAGTGGAGGCTTTGTTTCCAGGTCTTGGTCTTCTTCGTGGCCCTGACAGGGTACCTCCCTCCCATCTGTACTTCAGGTTCCCCCAGAGGCAGACCCTGAGCTGAGGACAGAGGGGAAGATCGTTTACTGGGGAGGCGACCCCAGGAAGCACAGTGAGGGAGCAGGGAAGGGAGAAGGGAAAGGAGGAGGAAGGGGGGAGGGAAGGGAGGAGGAAGGCAGTTACCTGCTGCTGCCCTGACAAGGGCCAGCCTTGAACCACACAGTGTGTTATCTCCCGGATCTGCAGTCCAGGTGTCAGCTGTCTCGACTCTCACTGGAGGCTCTGGAGGAATCCCTTCCAGGCTTGTTCAGGTTGTCAGCAGAATCCAGAGGTCCTGTTTCCTTGTGGCTGTCACCTGGGCCTGCCTGACCTCCTAGAGGCCTCTCTCTGGTCCTTGCATGCGGCCCCTGCATCTCGCTGCATTAAGTCCTGCCCACACTTAGAATGTCTTCTGCTGCATCTCTCTGACCCCAGCTGGAGAAACTTCTCTGCTTTTATGGTCTTCGGTGATTGAGACCCATCCAGATGACCCAGGATAATCTTGAATTTAAATCAATAACCTTAATCACACCTGCAAAGTCCTGATTGCCATGTAACGTAACATCTTCACATGGTCCAGGGGTTAGGGCGTGCACACCTGTGGGGGGCACTGTGTGGCCTACCACAATGGGAGAAAAGCCTGTAAGGCCTGTGATAATGAGGGGTTTCCATGGCAGCTGAGGCCCAACCCCAGTCTGGATGTTCTGTGTAGAACAGCTTCCAATTACACCAGCAAGGGGCGAGGGAAATAGGAGATTTGTCTAGCAGCCCTCATTCCACCCTGGCTAAGAGTCTGCCCTGGGGGTGTTAGCTCGCCAGCCCTCCTAGCCATCCTTGAGCCAAGCCCCTGTCTGCCTCCCTGTGGCCAGAAGAAGCCCTGAGACCTGGTTGCAGGTGCTTGTAAGAAACCATTGGTGTACGTGGAATCTGTCCTCCGAAGGGCAGACGGCCACCAGTGGGCTGAGGGGATGTGGGCTCATTACCAGCGTGTCCCTGTAAGCACACACCCAGATCCTGAGCTAGGCAGGGACAGCACCTCCCAGCCAGGAGCTCACAGCCCGCAGGGAGAAATGGACAAGCAGAGACAGTGGGAAGCCCCCGCCGGGGCTGTGATGGGGGAGGGGCGCTGCAGGACCACGGCTGCAGGGGCGGGGGGTGGTCCCCTGCTTAAGTAGAGCATCCCACCATCTAGAAGCAGCAGCGGGGCTGCCGCCCCACGAGGGGGGAGGGGAGGGGCCCGCACCACAGCGCAGGCCCCGCCCTCATCTGATGCTCATTTAGGAAGCAGGAACCGCGGCATCCTCCAGGTCAGGCCGAGTCCAGCATCCCCCCCCCATAGACCCTCTGCCGTTAACAGCGTCAGCAAACGCCCTGCCTGTGGCTTGAGGCAGAGACTTGCTCTGACTGTCATACACCCATCAGACTACGGTCCAGTGGTTCTCAGATTTGGGGGCATCCGTCTCACTTGACTTCCCTGCTGAACATACGGATCCTGGGCCCCAGGACAGGACAGCCACGCTCTGACAGTCCTCACAGAGGACAGAGGCTGTGCTGGGGCCGCCCTGTGGTGCCCCGGCTCAGGGCTGCTGCCCTCCGGGCACCCTGTGGAGGGAGGGACTGGCTGTAGACCTGGCTGTGGGGTCTGAGTCACCTAGACGGGTGCCTAAGCTCATGGACGCCTTATGTTCGAAGTTGAATTTAACTATGAAAGGGAGTAATTGGGGGAGTAATTGAGCTTCTCTATTTATTTATCTATTATTTATTTATTTTAATGGAGGTACCGGGATTGAACCCAGGACCTTGTGCACACTAAGCACACACTCTACCACTGAGCTGTACCTCCCTGCTTCTGGAAATGGATATTTTTAAAATACCTATTTTGAAAGACTTTTTTTTAATGATGGCTACTAGATTTTGTTTTTTAAATTGAAGTAGAGTTGATTTACAATGTTGCGTGTGTCTGTGCAACTTTGGAAGCGAGTCCTTGTCACTCCCCTCCTGGCTTAGAACTGCAGCCTCCGGCCAGACTCCTGTGTGGTCCCATCCTGTGGTCCCATCCTTTCTGCTCCCTGCGCTGCAGCCAGGCATTGTGTGAAACATGAAGCAGCCAGTGTCTGAGACTCTCCTGGACCCTCCCAGGGCTCCCCCGGCCTTGAGGGTGAAGCCCAGCCCCTGACCCCCAGGCCCTTCCCGTGCAGTCCTGTCACCTCCCAGAATATCCAAGAGCCAAATCCAATGGGGGAAGCCAGACCAGCCAGCAGGATGACAGCCGAGAGTGACCAGGACTGGTGACAGAGCAGGTAGTGGGTGGAGGCTGCTCACAGCAAGAAGCCACCAGGCAGCCTCGGTAGTGGGCTGAAAGGGGGCCCCAAAGGCTACGTCCACATCCTAATCCCTGGAACGTATACCTGTGACCTTGTTTGGAAGAAAGGGTCTTTGCAGATGTCGTTTATGTTGAAGATCTTGAGGAAAGGACCCAATCATGCTGGGCTGTCCCATTGGGCCCTGGACCCAATGACCAAGTAAGCAGAGGGACATTTGATCACACACAGAGAAGATGATGTGAAGAAGGAGGCAGAGATTGGAGAGATGCAGCCACAAGCCAAGGGCTGCCTGCAGCCGCCAGAAGAGGCAAGGAGCAGTTTCACCTCTAGAGCTTCCCTAGGGAGCATGGCCCTGTCCACACCTTGACTGAAGGTTTCTAGGCTGTTCATCAGAGAATCAATTTCTATTGTTCTCAGCCCCCAAGTTTGTGATCATTGTTAGAGCCACCCCAGGAAAGTAACGCCACCTCCCTGAGGGTGTGAGAGAGACCACGCTGCTGAGCACTGACCTCAGCTGTGTTTGTTCAATATCTATCCCCACCCAGCTCTGAGTGGGGCCCCAGGAAGCCAGGGACTGAGTCTCTTATTCACAGCTGTGTCTTCAAAACCCAGCATAGCACCTAGAAGCCCAGAAATACTTTTATGAATAAGTGGATGGGTGGATGGATGGATGGATGATGGATGATGGGGTCTTGTAGGATGAATAGGAGTTTGCCAGACGATAAAGAAGAAGGGAATGGTACTACTGGTAGAAGGAAGAAGATGAAGCAAAAGCAAGTGGAATTTTGTGCCTTCAGGTTCACTCCGTGGACAGCTGCCTGTTGATGCTAAAAGTGGCTTCTGCCTTCAGGTCTAGACAGTCAGCCCCTTTCAGAAAATCAGTCACAAAAGATTGAAAAGAATGGAGATGGAGTGGGTGGTATTGAATGTTTCTGTTTGCTGAGGACCAGAGGAAGGTTGGCTGGGGAGAAGAGGGTATTCAAAGCAGGAGGGGAGGAGTCCCTGCTCCTGAGAGGGAGGTGGGGCTCTCTGTAGGTCGAGGTCCCAGCTTCAGCCCCAGCTCCGTCCTCCGTGACACGCAGTAATGAGGTTGCCGTGTTCAGGATTTCTCAGACTCTGCATCCTAGGGAGGGGCTGAGGCAATTCTGACATTTTAAGTGAAGATGGGTCCTTTCAGGAAACTATCCCCCAGCCACCACCCAGGGTTAAAATTATTTTCTCATACGAAGCTGCCACTTGCTGCTCAACTATTCTGCAGCTGGAGGACCTCAGGGATACCCCGTCCCCCTGAGCTTCTCCCTAGCTTTTCTCCTCTCGGTCCTGCTGGGGTCAGCAAGCCAGCCCAGGAGCAAGTGAAAACGTGTGTGTGAGATTCTGTAAACTCCCAGGTGTTAACCAGACGGCGTCTGCTTTTGTGAGTCGGCCGCTAGTGGGGGAACTCAGGCTGTGTCCCGCAAATCGTGCCTGCAGTGGCCAGCCTTCCTCCCGGCTCCAAGGGCTCAAGGATGGCTGTCAGTCGCCGATTCCTGCGACGCGGCGGGCCCTGGGGAGAGGTGCGGCAAGGGCCACGCGGACGCCCTGCGCTCCTTCCTCCAGGATGCTGGCGCAGCAGAAAGGGTTCCTGGCCCAGTTCACGGTGCACCAGCGGATCCGCCTGGACGCCCGGAAGCAGGAGGCGAGGCTTTTGGACCGTCTGGAAGCCCAGCTTGAGACCCAGCTACAGGTACGGCTCTCAGAAACGGGCCCTCGCAAAGCGGGCCGTGGTGTACGGAGTTTTCTTCCACTGGGAAAGGGCCAAGCTCGTGGTCACAGGTCAGCACCGGAGCCTGTGCGAGGACCACCCGCCCCGGGTCGGGACCCCCTCGGCCCCCACTGGCTGAGGATGCGTCAGCCTCGCCGCTGGGCTGTGAAGTTGGGTCGCCCCCCTGCCCGTCTGCGGTGCCCAGCTCGGGGCCAGGCCCCGACCACTGCTCGGCACGTCTGTGGGGCTGGAGGAGGGAGCGTCGTCCTGGGTGGGAATCGCCGCCACGTGGGCCCCTCGGGGCTGAGGCCGACGTCAGGCAGGGCTGCTGGGACCGAGGTTCCCACTGTCACCCAGAACGTACAGGAAGCCCAGCTTTCCTCACAGGAAAGGCTCATCTATATGAGATTAGATGTGGCTGTGACGCAAAGTGCCTGCCTTTAAGAAAAACAAAATTCCAGAATGGAAGCACTGAGCGGAGCGTTGGCCCCTTGCGAGGCTTCACCACCAGTGTGGCAGTAACAGCTGGGAGATCAGACAGTAATGGTGGCTGACGTTTATTTACCGAGAGTCTGCTGTAGTCAGTCACTGAGCCGAGAGCTCTACATGCACCATCAATGTCCCCCCACCCCAACTGCCAAGGAGCAGGTTACTCTCAGGGTCCCAGTTACAGATGAGGAACCTGAGGGTCCCGGAGATGTGTCACTGCCCGGTGTCATATGGTTAGTGAGTCGTGGAATAAGGTCTGTCTGGCTGAACAACGGTGTTGACAATTGAGGACTCCAACTCCAGAGTCAGGCAAAGGTGGGTCACGTCCTGGTTCTGCAGCTGGCCCTTCCTGAGCCCCACTCACCTCAGTGATCTTACCTGTAAAATGGGCCAATGTGAGCGAGGACGGGCGGTGAGTCCCCCCCACACCTGCCCCTGCTGCTCCTGGCCCCTCCGGGTGCTGCTTGCAGGATTGTCCTCCACTCGGGACTCAGTCCTGTCAACCACTCTCAGTGTCAGCCTCATTTGGAAGGGGACTCAGGGGCGGAGCAGGACAGGGGGAGGCCCAGCTGACCCTCTGTCTCCGCATCCAGGAAGCTGAGCAGAGCTTCATCTCAGAGCTGGCGGCCTTGGCCCGGGTGCCCCTTGCCGAGAGCAAACCATTTGCAAACAAGCGCGGATTGTCAGGTGAGTCGCAGAAGGCGGTGCCCTGCAGGCTCTCTGGGCTGGGAGGGTGGGTTCTAGTCCCAGGCCTGCCGCTAACTAGCCCGTGGCCCTGGCACCGCACTTCCCCTCTCTGAGCGTCTGTGTCCTTGTCTGCAGATGAGCAGGCTTGGCTAGGATGCCCCTTGGGCCCCTGGCTCACCAACATTCAATAATTCTGATTATTCCGAATCCCTGGGTCTGCTGCTCACCAGTCAGCTCTCGTCTCTGACTCTGTTTCCCCATCTGTAAAAGGGGGTTAATTAGCCCTTCTGCCACTGCCAGCAGGAACTTCAGTGACATCACAGGGTGTCATATCCTGCTAACCGGATAGTGATAGGAAAGTGTGTGAAATCGCAGAAGGCTATTAAAATAAAAGCTACGGTACAGGAGCTGTGTTCTTAGGTTCTCAGTGCTGCGAAGGCTTCCATCTGCTGGGCGTGGTAGAAACACAGCAGGAGCCTGGCCGGCTGAGTTTGAGTCCCAGCACTGCCCCCTACCTGCCGTGCGGGCTTGGGACCACACCCCACTCACCACCCCCGCTAGCCTCAGTTTCCTCCCAAGTTAAGTGGGTGTCAGAGCAGCAAGGCACCGAGTGCACACTTGGCCCGAGAGAAGCTGTCACTTACCTAAAGTCCCAGAGCCAGTGTCTGGGTTCACGTGTCTCCTGCAGAGAAACCCCTAAAGACCAAAAGGAGGAAGCCAGCATCCCGGGAGAGAGGGGACGCTGGAGGGCCCAAGGACGAGGACCCTGCATGCACAGGACCCCACTCAGGATCACTCAGGTACGGCGGGGCCCTGGCTGGTTGTCTGGACGCTTGTTGACACCTAAGCCTGGGCAGGAAAATTGGCACCTCTGGGAGGTGCTGACTTGGGTCCAAGAAATGATGGAGGATAACGGGCAGTGTTGGCATTACTATTATCGCTATTATTACTGTCCAGTTCGGCAAGGTTGGCCACAGCCCACTTGCACAGCCGTCAGCCTCCAGCCTGAAGAGCCAGCAATTCCCAGCCTCCCCAGGGCCCCGCTGGCTACGGAGGCTTTGGGGTTTGCGGCCGGGCGGATCCGTCCGGGGGACATCCTGATATGTTTTCAGTCGTCTGAGCGTGGGTTTCTTTTTCCTCCTGGCACTCAGATGACCTCCCACCAAACAGAGGGAAGCCGGGCTCTTCATTTGTTTCTTAGCAATCTATGTCCAGATGCAAATTGTTTTGATCTCCTGTCACTGCCTTTTCATGTGATCAGAGTGGGTGAGTTGTTGCATCTGGACAGACCTGGGCTCAGAGTTCTGAACAGCTGCATTTCTCCCTTGTTTTAAGCAGCAAAAGGCTCAGCCAGCAAGAAAGTGCAGTTGGGGATGGTGAAAATTCCAAGAAGATGCTGAAGAGAAGAAGCAATTTGTAGCTCACGGCTGGTAGGGGAGTGGAACCTGGAGACTGAGTCTGAATGCCGGCTGCCCCTCCCCCAGGTGGTGAAGGCAAACCTGGCCACCCTGGGGGATGGTGGGGTCTCCCCTCTGCGCACGGGCTTGTTGTGCAGGATGGAGAATGGATATAAAAGTCCGAAAAAAGGCATAAATGAGTGTGGCGGACCCTCCCGCCTGTGTCAGTTATAAACCACCATGTTGGAAACAGGCCTTTTCCAGTTTTGTGTCTCCTTGGCTTCGTGACATGGCTCTGTCCCTTGGGGACCCCCCTCCTTCCTGGCTCTCTGTAGCACTGCCCCTCCCACTTGCACCCGAACCTGCCCCCCGAGAGCGTGACGTCGTCTCATTCCCGCCACGGGGCCTCCACTCCCCAGCCTCCGGGTGAAGTTCTGCGGGAAGTGAAGGGGTCTCCAGGTGTTGCTGGTGTTTTCTGGGCCCAAGATCCTTTCTCTTCCATTTCCATCACCTCCTTTCTCTCTGTCCTGTGACCACTGGCTGCATGAATTCTCATCAGGACCTATTCCTTTCTTGGGCTCAGCCAGCAGCTAAGGCCTGGTCATGACGTGAGAATCTGAGTCTCAGGGCCCCACGATCCTGACCTAGACCATGGAATCCCTGACCTGCAGGCCTGTCCTCACCCACCCTGGGGACCTGAGGACCCACAGAGACGTAATGACACCTGCAGCTGTGTCTTCTGTTGGAGACAAAGTGCCAGGAAGGAGGCCCTGCCCAGCCCTTGGACTCCCCTGGAGGGATGAGTTCTTCTGCCAGACAGCAGCCCCCCGACCCCGCGGGAGAAATGCTTGTCCCCTGGATGGTGACGATATCCAGAAGCTTCCAGATCAGCCACTGTCAGGAGAGGCCCTTCCCACCTGGAAGGAAAATGACTTGTTTCACTGAAATCAAGGATTGTCATTCTCAGGGCTGAACATCTTGAGTGTGACAACTCTCTGTCTGGGGGGGGGGTGGGGCCATCCTGTGCATTATGGGATGTTCAGCAGCGTCCCTGGCCTCTCCCACCAGATGCCGGGAGCACTCCCCCCAGTGCCCCAAAATGTTGTGACAACCAAAAATGCCTCAGACACTGTCAGATGTTCCTTCAGGGGCACCACCCATGGATCTGAGTCGAAGTGTGCCGGCCCAGGGAAGGTCTGGGATGGAAGCTCAGTGTTCCCACGAATTGCTGCTCACGGAGGGGGCACCTGGTTCTGGGAGCCCCTGTTTCAGGGATTTTCTGGGCCATCTGTGATCTGCATTTTTATTTTTTAAAGCTTAGATTAAATTCTCTTTAGTCAGGAAAGAGTTGCCCCTTAACAGAAGAAGGAATCCATGCTAGTTACTTCATTTGTTAGACATGCTTAACATCATAGCATCCTCGTCCTGACTGGTCCCCAGGCAGGATTTCCAAAGTTAACCAACAGTGCCCTCTTGTGGCTAAATAAAACATTTCACTATTTTGCAGACTAGGGACAAGCTATGGCTTCCTGCAATATTTTGAGAACCTGTTTTACATAGACACTGCTTTTGTCACTTAGGTCCCCTGCACAGAGGCATTCTGGAGGGAGACAGCTGCTATGTTGGGAATGTCTGGCTTGGGGACTTAAGTTTGGTAAATGCAGACGCCCCGGCAGCACCAGGATCTCTGGAAAAACAGGCAGTTTAGATTCATTGTCCACCCATCTTGCGTGGATAGTGGCTTTACTTCCTAAGTGCAGCTTCCTTAGCCCAAGGGAGTATGTCACATGTCATATGTTACAAGCTGCTGGACTGCTTGGCACAGTGTGAGGCACGTAATTCTCTATAAAGCCTTGTGGGTTGTGTCTTCCGTGAGAGGAACGTGGAGGGGCCCCTTTCACTCCTTGGGCAAAATAAACCTGGAAGCCACAGGACACTCAGCAGACCGTCAGCACAGGCTCTGGGACACCCAGGATGAGGACTTTCAGGCCTGGGACTGAGCTGCACGCACCCAGCACACCCAGGGCCGGTGGGGGAGAAGGACCAGCAAGAAGACCCCGAGGACACATCCCAGTCGCCCTCCCTCCACTGGGGTGGTAGTGTTCCCAGTTCTCATTATGGGCTGTGAATTGTTACAGTGATGGAAGGAGGTGAAGATGGGAGGGAATCATGAGTGATGATGTAGCAAGGAGTTTAGTGGATTGATTTTAATGCAAATTTAGCCTCTGATCCGATCTGAGCTGCTAGGATGAAGTCATCGGGGCATATAAGGCCAACACGCTCCTAGGGCTTCTCCAGCCAGCCTGGGGTCTGTCTTGTCTTCATTACCTCTTGCTGCTGCTGCAGAAGCCTCCTAACTGCTGCTCCTCTCCCCTCCTGCCCTGCCCCAGCCTCCTCTAATCTGCCCGCACTTTCTAAAACACAGCTCTGACTGATGCTCTTCAGTGATGTTCCCTTGCTCTTAGGAGAAGCAGCAAAATCATTCACACAGACCGCAGGGCCCTTTGATGTCTGGTACCGGCCACTCGGCAGCCCAGCTTACGGCCTTGGCCTCTGTCACACCTGCCTACCACAGCCTTGGTATGTGACATTCTTCTGCTTGGAACACCCCCGCATCCTCCCATCCCTTTTGCCTCATTAGCTCCTGGTCCTTGTTCCTATCTCAACAACAGGGCTCACAGCTTCCAGACCCTTCCCTGCCCCCAAAACTAACTCTGACCCCCCCTCTTTTGCTCTTAGCACTATCTGTGTGTTTTGCTGCTAGAATGGGGGAGGGGATGGTAAATACCATTCCTTTATTTCCTGTCCAAGTCTGGAACCAGCTGAGATAGAGGCCAAGCAGGCAGACAGACAGAGATCTGCATATAATTTTTGTAACTGATGAGGCCCCTCTGGGGGACTGTGTCCACAAGGAGCCTGCTCATACCTTCCCCAGAGCCAAATCTGCCCGCCCCCACACAGACACAGACGTGGCCCCACTCACAAGCCTCCACAGTGGGGACGCCCCAAAACACACTGAGAGGAGCAGCAAGGGGACCGGGACCTGGAGGCTGGCGGGAGGAGTGGCCTGGGGCTTTACATCTTGGGGAGGAGAGTTTCATAAAAGACAAAATTATAAAAGGTATAAAGTGAATATGTATTTAGGATGAGAGAGGAGATCAGATCGAATTATATTTTTAAAGCCTGATGAATTTCACAAAATCTCAGCTCCTCCTCACCAAAAAATAATTTTTTAAATAGATGAATTGCCTGACCCACTTCCATGGTCATTTGTCCTAACACTGATTTCTCCCCTCACTGCTCCTTGCCTCTGACGGCTGGGAGGTTCCCCCGGACCCGCTTCTGACTGCGCACTGGCCTCAGCACGCCCCCTCCTTGGTGCTGGGCACGCTTCCGGTCTGGGAGTGCGTCCAGTGCTGGGCACCGTGGGGCACATTTGCGTCCTGTCTCCTGGCTGACTACTTGTCGCTATGTAGGGGAGTTGGCCCTGGGAGTGGCCATGTGTGCCTGGGCTGGCCAGCAGCACCTGCACCGCCCTCATACCCACCACACTAAATCCAGCTCAACCTGCCTTAACCCAGATCCCAGCAAGTCCCACGGCCTCCCAGGGCCACTCGACACTCGGGACGTGAGAGTGGAAGGTGCTGGTGCTCTTAACCCCGACTCAGGTAAATCTGACTCTCCGGACTTGTCACCAGCCCACCCCCGGGGCCCAGGGAGGGATCTGTGCAACGAGGGGCCTGAAGCTTGAGCATCATTAACTTTGGGGTAAATTCGCGACAGAGGAGATGTGTTTCCTATGGGCCAGTCATCTCTGCGGAGGGAGGGAGGGGGCCCCGTGGCACGCTCAGCTCTGAGAAATCAGGTGCTTTTCCTGGCCTGGGGAGGATGAGTGAGCGAGGGGCCAGGAGAGTCGTGGTTCTCCCCCAGAGTGTGCACGCCCCTCCCGCTATGGAGACATGAGGAGCGGAAGGTCGACATTCTCAACTCGCTGCAAGATGCTTCCTTTGTAGCCCACTTAACACGTGTGCAATTAGATGCTTTGGGTAACAGTTTGGCTACTATGTGACCTTCCTGCTGGAATGTATAGCCCTCACATTCTCCTAACTAGCAGGCAGTCTGGTACGAAACAAGCACTGCTCGGACCCTGGTGTCTGAGAAGGAAAGAGGGAGGGAGGGAGGAGGGACATTTCAACTTGGTAGAAGCCCGTTTTGTTCAGGAATTCCCTTTTCTTGCTCTCTCGCTCCATGAATTGACATCACTGGAGGAGAACATGAGGCCAGTGACACTGTGAACGCACTGGCCCTTACTGGGACACCAGGGCTGTATGGATTGCACAATCACACTGTATGGATTGCAAGCTCCCAGGCTCCATGTCGGTAGCTTGAAATTTGCTACAGTGAGAGTATTTGCACCACAGAAGTTAGCAGACACTACAAACGGCTCCCAGCCCGGTGTCCAACATTGAACAGCGCACCTCAGGACCACTGGATGAGAAGACCGCTCACTGTGGCCACCTGATCTGCAACGAAGGCTCCGCTGCAACTTAATGGGGCAAAGCTGCATTTTCTCCATAGAGCATCTAATCCCCCCAGTGCCCTTGGTTGAAAAGACGATCTGGTCTGGTCTTTTCAGTCAAGGGCACTGGGTCGATCAGATTCTGTATGGAAAAAAGTGAGCCTTGAGCCCTACTTTACATTATACACAAGGATTAATGAGAGATGGGTCAGGGACCTAAGTGTCAAAGATAAAATTTCTGGGAGGAAACTGAGGCTACTGCAGTGGCAGAGTAGCGCCCCCACCCCAGGGCACCCACATCCTGACCCCTGGGACCCATGACTGCCATGCTACACGGCAGAGGGGAAGCAAGGGTGCAGCTGAGTGAGCAAGAGGATGGAGAGCCTCCCCATGAAGTGCCATCCCACCATCTCAAGAGATGAATGAAAAGAATACTCCTCAGAAAGGATGCTGCAGCTCAGGCTTCCAGGAAAAAGTGAATCTTGTCTGTCCTGCAGCTGCCAGGACCCCTGTGACTGTGCCTCCTGGGGGTCCCAGGGAACCTGATGTAGGACTGGGGGTGCCGGCCCCCTCAGCAGGTTATGCCGACTGGGCAGTGGCCCTGTGACCTGGGAGCGAGGCAAAGGCCACTTCAGCGTTGGTCTTAGAGGGAGGATGTTACGGCTGCTTCTGCTTCAGTTTCTGCCCCCGATGGGCTGGGAGTGATGCGGGAGCCAGAAAGCGCTCTCCTGAGAGCAGGGTGGGTACCTTATTGCTGCCAATCTTACTCTTCTAGGAGCTTCTGTTTTGCCCTTTGGGAGTCCCAATGGGCCAAGGCCAAACATCAAAAGCCATTACCTTCCCTTGCTGACCTTTCTCCATATTTAGCCTTGTTTCGAGAAAACCCATAACTGACCCTGAGCCAGCACCTCTTTGGGCCTTAACCAAAGTGTCCTAACCCAGTGGGGCAGGGGGAGAGGACACTGAAACCATAAAATAGACGTAGGCGCATCCAAAGCCGCGAATGACAAAGTTTGGCAGTTAGAAACAAGAAGCTTTGGATGTGTTGGTCTTGGATTCAGATACTGGCTCTGCCACTTTCTGATCTTAGAGGAATTATTCACCTCTCTAGACTCATCTGTAAATGAGGCTAATAACAGTGCCTACTATGTAGAGCATCTGGCATGCAGAGCATGCTGTACAGATAGCGTCACTACCACCACCATCACGACCACCACCACCTCCACCATCACCACCATCATCA